CCCCCGCCCCCCAGGGCCCCACAGAAAAATCCCACTTTCCAACCGCCAGCCGCTGCACCATAGACATTCTCTCCACATCTCTGGCAAACACCTCCGCCCCGAGCGTCCCTCCAAAGGGGAAAATCCGCCAGAGGGGAAGATCCAGCGCACTGTTACGCCACAACGTACAGACATTGGCCGCCGACAGTACGTCCTTCAACCATGGGTCAGGGGTGTTGCAAATATAGTCTACCGGAAGGCAAAGCGGATAAGGCACTAGATACGATAGTACGCATCGCACCAATTCTGTTGGTAAAAACGACATCGCTGGGAGAATCTGCAAGGATGCAAACGCCACGCATACTGGGGGAAACGCGTCCCCCTCTTCATGTGACCGACCATCAATGCTGTGTACGGCTAAGAATTTCCCATGGAACCTTTTCATCAGTGGCCTGATAGTCTAGTGGTTACGATTCTCGCTTTGGGTGCGAGAGGTCCCGGGTTCGAATCCCGGTCAGGCCCGTCCTGCCATTTCTTTTTCGCAATTGGAGTAGGCAGCAAGTTGGTTTCTGCCCTTGATTAGGGCGTCGTCGGGATGCACGTTTTGGTCCGCTTTTCTTCAACGGAAACCAGGCATCAGGATGCACTTTTTGGTCTACTTCTTTTCAAACGGAGACTAGGCAAACAAACGTTCAGAGAAAGAGAAAAACACTCATGAATGGAATTTTACATCCGCCCTGGTTCAACCCAAAGCTCACACGCCACAGGACGGTGGAAAAAGAAACAAGAAAAAGAAAAAAGCCCATCCCCCACACCGTTAGACACCCCCACTGCAGTTCCCCCGAAAAGATGCACTTCCGAATCATGTCCGCTCCCCCTCACACGTTACAGCGTGCCTCCATTCCATCCTCAACTCTGCCCCGCCCAATACTGCCCCTGCTGCCTCCCAGATTGATTGTACAGGTTGGACTGGTAAGGCTGTTGCTGGTGCTGCTGTTGGTGCTGGTGCATCAAGTGCGGAGAGTAGCCTCCCAAATGCTGCTGTTGCGCCTGTTGAGCGTGCAAACCCGCGAGTTGGTGCTGGTTGTAATACGAGGAGGCGCCCTGGTTGCTTTGGCTTCCGGCTTGGCCGGCCGCACCCGCACCCGTTGAGCCGGCGGTAAGTCCACCAGTTGGTTGACCACCTTGTGCCCCAGCAACCCCAGCTTGATACTTGTGGGGTTCGTAACTCTGACGAGCACCTCGGTTCGCCTGATTACAGATAGATAAGTTATGGGCGAGTTCACAATTAACAGCACAACGATTACATACTTGGCTCTTGTATTCACCAGCTTGTTGACCGCCAGTCTGTTGTGCAGCGCCCGCTTTCTGAACACCAGCTCCTTGAACTCCCGAGCCTGGTTGGCCCGAGTTCAATCCAAACGGCTGGAAACTCTGCTGCGGCATACCGCCGTATACGCTTGACGCAGATTTGTAGTCTTGGGTTGCCAGACCGCTGGCGAGGTCATCGTAACCTTGCTGGTACAACGGCTGCTGTTGGGCAGACGAATAGCCGTACTGTCCCGCGTTGGAGATAGCGGAACTCTTCTGCTGAGTGGATCCAGGCGTCGTCGACGGTTGCCCCGTCTGCTGAGTGTAACCCGGGTAAACCGACTTGTTCACGAATTGCTGGCCGTAAATAGAAGACTGGTAGGATGGGTACTGGTTTGGCAAGTGGTAGTACGGGTAGTAGTAGGGAAGGGGATAACCTTGCTGCGGTCCTTGCTGTTGTTGGAGCCCTCCCTGTGCTTGCTGCTGTGCCCCTTGTTGTTGAGATTGTTGCTGGTGCTGATGCTGCGCCTGCTGGTGGTGTGGCTGCTGCTGAGCGGCTTGCCCTTGCGGCGACTGTTGACCCTGCGTTGACGGCGCAGAGTGAGCATCTGGCGTCTGATACTTCGATGCCGCGGCCTGGTAGGCAGCTGGGTCATAGTATCCCTGATGAAAATGACCGTGTCAAAATAAAAAAGGAATTTGGTCCCGATGTTCGCAGCGTATCTCTCACCATCACAGCCGCGCGAGCCTGGGCCTCGCTCGAGTACAAATTCGAGTAGTCGGCCGGCGATCCCATGTGGTTCATACCAAACCCAGACGCGCCAAGCTGCTGCGTGGGGAAGTAAGACGCATAGGGCGGCACACCAGTGGGCAGAGCCCCACCGGCTGTGACAGGACCCCCCGTTGGCAAGCCCAAAGGTAATCCTTCAGTTTGTTTGGGAAGAGCTCCTTGCAATGCAACAGGAGCATTCATCTGCGGCATGATGGAGGAAGGAGCGGAAATGCGCGGATCCCGAGCAGACTGACTTTGCGGCAGAGTCTGTTGCTGTTGTAATCCGTGATGGTAAGCTTGTTGCTGTTGTTGCAGATGCTGATATTGCTGCAGATGCGGTTGGGCCGTGCTCGAAGGAACGCCAGAAGCGGTGGTTGCCGTTTGCGGCGGCATTTGCTGCGCTGTTTCTTGGTAACCAGGTTTCACGCTAACCCATTGAGATTTGTTAGGTGTCGGATTGCCATCATTGGGAACAAAATGCGCAGAGAACACCTACCTCGGTTGGGACTGAGCAGGTACAGCAGCAGAAGGAGAAGGAGCTTCCGTTTCCTCATCTTCAGAACCTCCCAACCGCAAAGACCCGAATTGGACACCGATACTCGATAAAGTCGCATTTGAAGGCATGACCACGGCCGCATCCTGCTTCAATTTCCGAGCAACCGGTTGTCGAGCTTGTTTGAGACCAGGTGGGCCAGCAGGGACCGCCTTGGCAGCTCCCGCGTTTTGCTCCACGGCGGATTCTGACGGTGACAAAGTTTGGATCTGCTGTTGCTGAGGTGCAACTGGTGCGGATGGCTGAATGGCTGCCGCCGCAGAGGGTTTTACAGGGCTCGAAGGACGAGACGCCGGCTTCGAAACTGCCTTTGATACAGGAGACGAAGGAGAAACGGGAGTCTCTTGCTTCAGTTTCGAAGGGGAAGCTGGGGCAGAAACTTGTTCTTTAGCAGGACTAGCAGGCCTGGGGGGACTGCGCACGGGACTCGGCGCACGAACTGGGGACGGTTCGCGTGCCGGAACGGGTTGAACCGACTGCTCAGACACCGACGGAGGTTTTGGTCGGGCAATTGGTTGCTTCGCGTCTACCTTTGGTGCTGCAGGACTTGGTGTGGGGGGTGCAACAGGCTCGGGGCTACATATTGAAATGTTACCACAGTCAGCGCGCCATTTTTGCTTTAGATGGGGGAACATAAACCTACCCCTTAACCAGCTGAGCCCACGATGTTTTTGCGCCAACACCCGGACGAGAAGGAGCTGCCGATTGACCTGCACTCTTTGCAGGGCTAGAAGCAACAACTGTCGATTGGGCAGCGTTCGACTTGTGTTCCGGCTTGCTCACAGTCTTCGCAGGGCTCGCAGATGCATTCCCAGGTGTAGCCGCGTCCCAAGCTCCATTGGTCGCCGCACTAGCACCCCAGGTATCACCTGTAGATGGATTGTTCCACGAGTCAGCATTAGGGTCAGAGTTGCCCCATTCCTCCGCAGGAGCAGCAGCTGCGTTGGCATCAGCCTCTGTGCTGGAAACGGGCTCAGGCCCATTACGCTGTTGGCTGATACCATTTTGGCGAGGGGGACGTGGGTGGAAGGCTGAAAAACAAGGAGACGATCAAAAAACGGCTCGCCAGACAATGTCAGTCACTAAAGCGAACTTACCACCATTGACCGAACCACCCCGTCCTCCACCTCGTCCGCCACGGCCTCCTCCACGACCACCACGTCCAGCATAGCCACCTACAACGCGGTTAGAGGAAATGCGGCTTGAATACCCTGCGGGGGATGACCTCAAAAAGGAACAGTCTACTTACTGCCGCGAGGAGGACGACCTCCATCGAAATCGCCCGCAGGTCCGCCCTGCTTAATTGAGCGGGGCCCCCTCTCGTTTGAAGCACCTCCTTCTACCTTGGGAGTCTTTGGCTTGTCCTTTTTCTTGCCCGATTTTACCTCTCCCCATTGTTCCGCGTGACCTGCATAGTATCATCGACAATAAGATACAGAAAGTTGAAAAAAAATGGTGAGAAAAACCGGTGTGGATGAGATATGGTCGGGTTTCACCGTTAGATCTCAAGCCAGCATTCCAGCAGCCTTCTCCAACCAGAACGCTACTCCACGCAACAGAATCGCCCAAGCATGCTCTCCTTGCAGTTTCCCGACGACAGAGGATAATGGTGTCATTGGGTATTCCGATATACCTTCACTAATTCTGCCAATTGCGAGATCCAAGTCACCCCGTACTTCCTCCAATGTCGCCAGCAAATCGTGATCAGACCAATCACCAAACAGTGTTTTCAGTGATTGAAGTTCCTCGGGGTATTGCTGCTTGAGTTTGAGGAGCGCTTGGTCCTGGGGTTGGCCACCGCGTTGGGAAGGCTGTTGCCTTCCGCCGGAACCCGTTCGCGTTGCCATCGTGAACTTTGGGAATGTTTCCCGAAAGCGGTGACAAACTGGAGGGGATGAAGGAGGAATATACAGAGGAAATGAAAAGCAGGAGACCTTGCGTATGGAGTCTCGCTCTGTATGGATTCAAGATTGGTTTTGGAAGGTTGGAAAATGGGCAACCGACAGAAAAAGCACGACGGGCAGGCAGGACCAGGCCGCAAAGAGGGAGGGGGGAGCGATATACTGACACGGAGTGTTTTGTGCTTTCTTTCTTTCCACGAGCGCGGTTGAGGAGGAAAAGAACCAGTTTTGTTTTTTGGGCCGACCAATTGAAATGAAAGATTTGAAGAGCAACAGATTCAACCTTCTGACTCTTGTTCCACCACAGCACCCACAAACCCAAACATCGTCTTGTGAGGGGAGAGGCTGGGCTTGCATGTCGGCCTGCCAAAAAGGGTTTGATGGCCAGCGTTGATTGGCTGCATGGGAGGACTCAGACAGCCAATAAGGACGGGCTGAGTCACGTGTGCTTGCGTCCTATCCACGGGACGAGCTGCACTGAGCGGGGCGACAGGCGCAACGCGGAACGCGACCTCCCCATCTAGTCTAAAGTCTCGCACTGCATACTGTAGCTACAGAACGCAATGGTGAAGGTCGAGCACAAGCACGAGATTATGATAGATCTCACAGAGGATGATGCAAGTGTGGTCCATCACTGTCGGTCCTTTTTGATTAGCATCTGGCGCTGATACTTCCACCAGGTTAAAGTGAAAGTAGAAAGTGTGGATCAAGAAGAAACAGGTGCCATCGGACCGACAACCGACGAAACTGATATCTATTTGGATGAGGAGGCAAGTGCTTCTTTCTGGGAATTACTCGCAGAGAATCCCCTGGCCCTATGACGTCTTCACCAGGCAACGTTGAAAGATGAAGAAGAAACAGTAGCCACCGTACCAACACCCGACGAAACTGTAATCAAGGTGGAGGATGAGGCAAGTGCTTCTCTTTCGGGCATTACCCACGGAGAGTCGCCCGGCGCTCATACGTCTTCACCAGGCTAAATTGA